CTACGCGCTCAAGCGCCAGGGCCGCACCCTCTACGGCTTCGGGGGCTAAGCATTGTGCTCTCCTCATCGGTTCCCTGGTTTCTCACACAAAGACCCTCTTCAAGGCCGCCTGCTTTTCTGCTAAGGATCTCTCACTGGGTGATGCTCTGGGGTTGGGGGTGTCTTGGTACAAAACGTTGAAAGTTCACGGGCACCAACTGTCACCTGATGCTGTCCAGTGTTCGTATCAGCTGCTGCGAATGTAGCATCGAACACTTTGATGATCGACAGGCGTGAAGCGGTGAAATCACTGCAGCACGTAGTGAAACGGGGGGTTAGACAGGTTCGCGGATAAGGAATCTTTTGGGCGGCCTGCAGACACGGCAGTTCTGAGCGCCGCTCGGCCTCTCTAAGGACGCTAAGCTATAGTTTAGCGAAGTTTGCTACAATGTTTTCTCTAGTGTTACAGTTTTTATTTTTTTCAGTATACATTTGTATGTGTGTGTTTGCAAGTGGTGGGGTCTCCCAGCCATATTATGTTCTGCCTAGTCAGATCTGTTAGCTTCAGAATAAAAACATTAATGAGCACAAACCTTAGCATATGCCATGTTGAATGCATTTGTTGCATAGAGTTTTGTCCTGTGTCAAACCTATTTTTGATGAGATAGTCAAAGATTACCAATGCTAAAACCTTTTGGAAAAAAGCTGGGGAACACTAGATTCAAATGATGTTCGAGTATCTCCAAACAATGTTATTTGCACAGGGAAAATATATCTTTACAGGAGAGCAATGCCTCCCACCCCCTTCCCCCAACTCCTTCCATCCCCCATCCCTGTGTATTAGTTAAGTGTTGTAATTTAGCACCACTAAAAGAAACCGACCACCTCTGAGCCTTCCCTTGTGCGTGATAAATATAGAGCCTCACCTTGGACAGAAGTGTAGGAACCTAATCATGCCTCAAGCTGCTGTTTACAGAGAGTACAGGGGATAAGGAGTCAGTTAAACACCATCACATGGAGAAAACATCAGACCGGAAGGTGGGACATTATATAACACAATTAATTTGGTTCCTCCCAAAGGTCAGTCATAACAAAAAGGTGGAGGAGTGTTCAAGATCAAAAGAGACTCAAGTAATAGAGCACTGAACAAGATGGGTTGATTGGATCCTGGCTATCTATAGATAAAGCTATAAAGGCCATTTTGGAGACAAGTGGGGAAACTTGAATGCAGACTGGATATTAAATCATTCTATGAATTAATTTCTTTTCTTTCTTCCTTCTTCTTCTTCTTTTTTTTTTTTTTTTTTTGATAATGTTAAGATTATGTGGAAAATTCCCTTATTCTTAGAGGAGTTAGATACTCAAATATTTAGGGGTTCAAGCCTCACGATGTCTCCAATCTACTTTTAAATGGTTTGGCAAAAAAATGTATATGTATATAGACATATACACAACAGTGGTAAATTGTGCTCAGCTATTTTATTTAAGTGTTGGTTATAAAGATAATTGGTCAACTCAACTTTCATCTTTTTTGTTTGAATATTTTTATAATAAAAATGGGAGGAAAATGAAACAGGTGACAAAACGCGTTGAAAATGGATATGTGTCATTATGGGAGAGGCTGAACAGGTGAGTGTAATGATCTGTCTGCACGCAGAGAGGGGACAGACACAACAGGACACTTTGTCCCATGATGTGTGTCAGAAGCCTGTGTCTTACTCCCCTCATGCTGACTCCTTGAATAGAAGTTGGCCGGAGGGCAAGGACATGGACCAGGTCACTTCTGGCCATATTGTCGAAGAGTAGGTTAGCCACCGGAGTAAAGATCCAGGAGGACAGTGAGTAGTTAAATGCCATGGAGTTTGGGAAGGAATTTCTGAAGGAGGCCCAGCAGTTGCCGGAGTGAGGAAGGCCCCTCCCATCAGCCGAAAACCTGGGCACCAGCCTGCTTCCAATAACTCTTTGGGATATGGTGCCCATCCATACTCTGTGCTGTGGAGTCACCACCTTGCACTAAGG